CACCTGATCTACACGTCGTCTATAAAGCTCCACTATGAGACCTGAGTTCCAAAAATCTATGGTGAAAACAAAGTCTGCTGTTGTTTTTTTTTTTTTACACAAACAGCCGAAATGCAACAGAAATGCTCACTTAAGGCCTTATCCGAACCTGTGAAATCCACTCTTATTGATGTAGCTGCGTGATGAAAAGTGCATCGTTTTGTTCTCGGCTTTCTGTCGCCTGCCCCGCTTTGCCCAGACCAAACTTTTCACATCCCTCTGTGGTCAAAAGCGCACGGGCGTGTTTGTTTATGCTGAGCTGTAAGTGCTCGGAAAGTAACGGCACCATTTTGCTTCAGCTGCTCTGCTTCCAGAAGCTGACACAAGTTATGTTTACATGCACAAAATTTTTTGATCGGATTTAAATGTATTCGGGTTAAATAATCCAAATGTACTGTTTACATGGACACAATCCGATCATGAAAAGTGTTTACATGCACCGGGCTTTTATTCAGAATAAAAGTCTGGACATGCGCAGTGTTGTAAACGTTCAACTCTACTTCCGTGTTACAAACGTAAACAAAGCTCCTCTGTGCGCTCAGGATGGACCCGTGTCAGCTTTTAATAACGGTAGAGACGCCGTTACTCTTCGGTTGAGCTGCAGACGAAGCAATACATGTTTTTTATTTTTATTTTTTGCGAAGCAACGTCTGCTGTTTGCCTCCTTTTTTATCTGTTAAGAGGGCGAGGAAGAAAAGTTCTGCGCGGTGCAGCGCAGCTGGAGCGCTGCTGTCCCACCTCCTCTAAGAGCAGAACCGGGTGAATGAAAGTCAGCAGACATACACACACAGGTCAGTTTTCCACAATCAGAATAAGATGATCCCATTAAGTGTTTACATGAACGTCATTCCAATTATCAATCGGCGTAACCCACCCCTTTCATTCGGATTAAAAATTCATTTGGATCGAGCTCAATCGAATCAGAATAATCGGAACGGGCTGTTTACATGACGCGTTTTTATTCCAAACGGCCGTTTAATCCGATTAATTATGTCCATGTAAACGTAGCTACAGATAATCAAATGACCAAAAACACATGCTTGGAGACAACACAGACACAGAGTTGTGAAGTAACAAAGTACTAATACTTTGTTACTGTACTTAAGTAGAAATTTTGATTATCTGTACTTTACTTGAGTAATTATTTTTCAGCCTACTTTTTTACTTTTACTCATTACATTTTTACACAATTATCTGTACTTTCTACTTCTTACATTTTTTATAAGGTAAGAAGTAGAAAGTCGTTACTCTTATTTTATTCTGAGTTGTTATTACTTAAAGAAAATACTATCCTAATAAATTGTGTCTCCAGGATAGAGTGAATTTAATTGTGGTTGGATGAGAAGTATAAATATATACCATTCTGACTAGGGATGCACGATATATCGGTATTGATTGATTTGATTTGATTTATTGATTTAACAGGAAAAGATTATTAAAAATCAAGCCTGACTCAGCATAATTGCTGTTTTACAGCAGGTTCCTGTTCTGCAGCACATAAAACACTCAGAATTACAGCATCACAATCACATCATTATACACCATAGACACAAAGACAAACATCCATCCATCCATCCATCCATCCATCCATCC